GACTACTTGGCTTGCAGTGGACGTACTCACTCCACAGAAATCAGCGACTGTAATTAAAAAGCTTCCTGATGCTTAGAAGTGCAACGCTAGCAATAACATTTCAGATGGGCTAAGTGCGTGGTTTCTGTAAAACGAATTTTATTAATACAAACGATGCTATTTTTAATATACATACATATGTAAATCATATTTCCACAAACCTTTGAGTGTAATTTCGAATTTTTCTTTGAATTTTTTCCAAAATATACAGAGCACTTTTTTTTAAAGACGGATCCTTTTAATAAATGTATACTCGTTATATTCCTCAAAGAAATTTGCTTTCGCTCCATATGTTCGTGGTTTTCTTATAAAGCGCATCGAATCCAAATTGGAAATAATAGAAAGCCCAATTATATGATCCATAATTATAAAAATGTGCGTGTAAATTACAATAAATTAATTTTTGATATTTTTGACAGCATTGTGACGTCACTTTTTGATCGGTTAATCGGTTGTTAACCGACGAATTTGTGCTAACCGGGCATTGAAAAAACGCATTTTCACCAAAACGCCGATTAACTCCCGTTTAGGCACTAATCAGTCTTTAAGAAACCGGCCCTAAACCTACTTCCCTACAAGACGCGATTGACAGAAACTCCAACACATTCACAACGAAAACTAACACATACGCAAAATTTTATATATCAGTTTGGCCCTGTAGTGAATGACTGTCATTTGATCGATCAAGTGAGTGGCAATGCTGATAGAAGTAACGGTTGCTGGTTGCCATAGTAACCGCAAGATTCACTAGGGCTGCATTTTGTGCTCAACAAAAGTAGTTGTACCTGCCAAATAGACAGTTTTCCCACTAATTAAACAGTTTTTCCACTAATTTAACCGATAATCACAGGTCAAGCTTCTTGCAAAAAAAATCAAATATCGTGCCATGAAATATCGATATTCAGAATAATCGATACGATATCGAACATTCCTAGTTGTGATTATGGCCCTTATTATGAGTTGCATTGGATTTTCGATCTTCGCTGGTTATCGAAGATCGAACCTGAAATTCGTATTATGAGCTATGCAACCGTGTCGAAATTTTCGTTGAGTATTGAATTTTCTGTCGAACAGAATTTTGCTTTCCATGGTGTAGCGAAGTGTTAGAAAATTGTGAAAAATGTATAATTTTGCATTTGTTTTCTTACTTTTTGGCGGTTAGACACTAATTTTAAACAATTTTAGTTAATTTTATGCAGTTCTAACGTCGTGAATACTAAACACAAGCTCGGAAGGCTGGTTTTACTTGTGAAAGAAAATCTCAATACTCAGCTGGTACGATCTCTGAGAACAAAAGCATAGAGCTGTTTATAGTTTATTAGTTATTTTAAATAGATTTGGATCACACAATTTCTTAAATACATTGTATGTCAAAATATATTCGAAAGGCTACACTTAAACTCTCTTAAACGTTTTCTGCTCCAGGCCAGTTTTCTAAGCTATCATCGTCTGACGAATCGTTCATCCAGAACTCCGTTGTACTAATTTTTACCACGTTTTTATAAACTCACTATATTTTTTATTTCATTTTAGTTTGCTCAAATTTACATAAATATGTATAAGCACACTAGTTAATTTGCTCGATTTGTAAACAAAGCTTGTCAGCAGCGAAAAATATACTATTGTGAACAACCTAAACGAGCGAAAATTCACAATAGCCATAATACGAAATGAAAATTCGTTCGATCAGCACTTTCGACCACAGTCGAAAATCGAATGCAACTCATAATAGGGGCCTATACATGATGCAATAATAGGTCCATTCCTTATCTTTTCGTACTAAAATCTGAAAAGTCGCAAAATGCAAGAGGGTATACAAAATGCGCTCACTAAAAGAGAATAACAGGAAAAAGTAAAGGAACGCAAAAGCCCAAGATTTTAGTCCAAAGAATGGCAACAACAAAACTAATGTCAAATAAGAATAGAAATGTATGTACAAAACTATACTATTACTATATCAATTATTTTTTGCCTCCTTCGACTTTCAATTCACTTTTTTTACTTTTTAGATTATTCTCACTTCTCTTCTTCAGTTGAGTTTGACACTTTTCAAGATTTTGCCAGCAAAAATTCTTCTGACTAAATCTGAAACACTTCGGACTGAAGAGAGTCACTCTCACTCACATTTTTGCTGTCATTTTCGAGTTGACCGCAAAACTCCACAGGCAAACACCGATGGCCTACCAACTGCCATTTTGACGAGAAATATGATTGCCAGTTTTTGTGTGTGGGCACTTTGATGTCTTGAAATAAGCATTTGCCGCATGACGCCACCAGACAACATTCTCTCAATTTCGGTGTTTAAAAACATTTAAATCTTTAAACAACTTGCTGAATAATTTTCTTAAACGTAATCATAAATAATCCAATAGGAAATAGATTTTTATTTTGATTTAATATCAAGATTGCATCGATGTTACCACCAGCACGCTTTCTTTCAAATGAAAATATGGCTGTCAAACTATCGAATTGCCTGCAATAGATTTCAAGCAATAAGCGCTGACATATGTTGCAGCCCATGAGAAATAGGCAGTCTCCATTGGAAATATATTTTGTGACATGGTTGTGATAACCATGTGTTTTCCTGTGGTCACAGGGCCTTAGGAACGCTTTTTGGACTAAATCTGACTACTTCGGACTTTTTCTGACTATTTCTGGGAGATAAGGAACGCAACTAATACAAGGTGTTATCGGTTGGCAACCTCTCGCTCTAATTCCCCATATTGACTGCCTTAGGAGAAACAGTGTTATTTCTTTAACAATTCTTTGCCTAATAATATATTTTTATTTTTTTTATTTTTTCATTGCATTTCATTTATTTCGGTTCAGGCATTAGTACAATAAGATTCAATCTTTTATAGTACAACAATGATAAAAGTAAAGATAATACTTATTTATTTATATATTGAAAATTCAAATTCTAATATATATACAAACGCATATGACACATTCAATTAAACAGAGATAACACGGACACATAAAACTTATAACATATAAACAAACATTATGGTATAATTATAATTATTTGGGCCAAATTCTTATTTGTTATGTTTGCTGGGTTGGAGCTGCTTCGGCCGATAGAGTTAAAAAAGCGAAAAAATTAAATTTTCCTTTTACCCTCCTACGCGTTTCAACGCTCACGCGTCTTCATCAGGGAGTCTTTATTCGAAAAATAAAAACAAATAAACAATAAACATGATTAGCAAGTAAAATTCGCTGATGCAAAAACAATAAACATAGTTAACGGCAATTACTTTACACTAATTCTGACTTTGAACTCACATTTACATAAATATTATTGGCAAAAATTGTTTAACAAACGATAAACGTTAGCACCATTTTAAGTATCTTTTCAACAATATTACCAAATTCGAATCCTATATTCTTATTTATATTTGTTATTGATTACAGCTGCATACACGTTGTTGGTGTTATCTACGTCCTCTTTAAAGTTGATCGCATTCTCAAGTCTTTGTTGTATACGTAGGCTTTCTAATGTCATTCTCCTTTTTACCCCTCTTTCGGTGTCCAAAATTCTCGTATTCCCGAAGTCCGCAAAGTGTTCGTGCTTCGTCAAGTGTTGTGCCAGTGCTGTTGTCATCTTTTGTTTCTCTCATCCGCTTTATGTTCGCTTATTCTTGTACCCAATGATCTTTTTGTTGTGCCTACGTAGCATTTGTTACAGCTTTCGGTATCATTTCCCTTACATTCTATTTGATACACCACATTATGTTGTTGTTCCTTCAGAATTCTGTCTTTTGTTTTAGTGTACAGTTTGCTTATTATGTTGTGCGGTCTGTGAGCATATGTAATATCTTCATTCTTTATAGTTCTCCTGAGCGCCTGGTTATTTGTTAGTCCTGGTACGTAAGTTACTCCAATGTACTTTTTATTTTTAATTGTGTTGTTAGCCTGAAGATCTTTATTTTGATTTGTTTGTTTACTTTTGTTTATCGTCGTTTCTATTAAATTGTTAACTAGCGCATGCGGGTAGCTGTTTTTGTGCAGAATGCTTTTAATTTTATTTTTGTTCTCCTCATACTAAAAGTATTGAATGCACAAAACACAAAAATTAAATTTACGGTTGAAAGAGAGAAAGACAATAAAATTGCCTTCCTAGACATAGAGGTGCATAGAAAACGGAATACAATATTGCTAAACTGGCATGCGAAATCCATCGCGTCGGGTAGACTTATTAATTTCCATTCAAATCACCCATGGAATCAGAAAATAAACACCGCTGCTAGCCTGATCAAAAAGGTGTACATACTAAGCAACAACGAGTTCGCGGAGGAGAACTTACATCCTGGAATGGACCAGATAAGTATATCTGGAGATCATCTGCATATGTATGAGCATTTACATATCGGAAAGTCAATAAAATATTGACGAAAGCGCTAAATAGCAACGGACCCAAAGTGGACCCTGGGGAACGCCACAGATCACAGACTTTGTCTGTGAGGATACTGAGCCAATCTTCACACGCTGGGTTCTGCCTGATAAATAACTTTTCATGAGGGACAGTGCATTTTTGCCAAAGCCGAAGTAGTAAGTGAGCTTTGAGCAGAGCAATGTATTATCAACGGAGTCAAATGCTTAGGAGAAGTCTAGCATTAGATTTGATTTTCAGTATACATCTAGCCACATCACATTCTGTTACGGTTGAAAATTCAAACGGTACGCCCAGGTATGAAGCGGAAGTTCACGGAACAAATTGAGACAAGCCACCATTAGACATAGCACTAGAAACAAACACATCATTCAGACTATCAACATTCAACATACATTCAGTTTTTTCATTAGCTTGTATTCGAAGGTTTTTAATAGGGTGACACCGAGGGAAGAGAGGAATCTAGCTTGGCTGATAAGAATCTTTGCTTTTCAGCTCTAACAATTGCAGTGGCTTTATTTCTTGCCACGCGAAAAGAGTCCCAGTTAGCTTTTGAGCGATTTTGCTTCCAAAGGCGATAAGCTTTTGTTCGCGCTTTTATAGCTTCCCTGACTTTGGTGTTAAACCAAGGACAAGGTGATGCTTTACCATAACGCAGCGGAACGTAAGTATGGTAGAGAGACACCAATTTATTATTTAAAAAATCGAGTTTTTCATTTACAGAGCCAAAATACCAACATTCATTCCAAACAACATTTTCTAGCTCCAAACGCAGTGCATTTAGGTTGATTGAGCGAAAGTCTCTGAAGGTATACACTTTTCCACTGCAAGAATCACTAAAGTGAATGTCAAAAGAGCAAAAAGTTAAATCATGAAATTTGGTCAAATTTTAACACAGAGGAATGATCGGACACGACAAAATAATCAAGAAGACTAGGATTACAATTATTACAGAATCTAGTAGGTGTTGAAGAATTAACGATGGAGAGACCAAGATTTGAGACATCATCTGAGAAGGAGGAACATATTTTATCACGGACAAGAATATTGTTATTAAAATCACCACAGAGTATAACATTATCATAGTCAATAAGCATCGTGGACAGTTTCTCAAATAAAGGACTTGTACAAGAGGATCTATTAGGATTATACACACAAGAGGCAAGAACTTTTTTTAGGCGATCGGTCAATTCAACAAATAAAAACTCAATTTCCTCAGTACTTGATTCGCAAACAAGCTTCATGTTTATGTGGTTCTTGCAGTAAATTGCAACACCGCCACCTCTTTTGCCAATTCGATCATTTCGCATAAGCTTATAATTTCTTATGCTAAAGTGGACATCACTAACATCCTTAGGGAACCAAGTTTCTGACACGCATATAACATCAACAGCGGAGTGCTCAAACACATATCTGACATAATCCATTTTTATACTATTTAAGCTACGGGCATTAAAATGGACAATGTTAAGCCCACGCTGTTGTCTACATAACACATTTAACATAACAAGACTGTTATCATCAACGCTATTGATCTTACCATCACCAACCATCATACAGCAAGTAAACAAAAGCAACTTCAAAATAAGAACAAACACATGCAGTGTACGAGAGAAGAACGAAGAGATGAACCACCTTTACAACATTACATGCTTAAGCTAAGAGTAAAGAAACAAGATATAAAATAAATTAAAATAAACGTAGACCGTTAGCACAAATTATGCAAATCAGTGCGCGTATCAATTTTCTGCGCAGGTAAATTTTTGTCAACTTTGACATATACAGCGCCGCGCAGCGTAAATACTGATGCCAGCTTCCCCTCTCTCCTTAGTGATATAGCCTCCTGCAATGTCTTCCTGGTATCGGCAGCCAAGCTCTCAAATAGCGAAAATTTTCCCTCAAGGCCAACAGCAGTAAGAGAAATTATAGACTTAGTTCGCTTTCTGTAGTCACTAAAAGCACGAAGAGTTCGGTTGCGATCAAGCGGGGGAAAAAAATGTTATCACAACTGCGCTGTTAGGGTTGTTGTTGGACGGCTAAGTTCGGAAAATATCCCATACTTGGGGAACAAGAAAATCGATGGATAGACATATAAGATTAAATACGCTCTTCAAATTTTCTCCCTCAGTATATGGAATGCCAAATGCAATAGCATCAGCAGCGATATCGGGAGCGAATTTTTTGTTTTCCGCCTTTTCAATTTCAGCTTTCAGTCGCTGCACTTCAGTTTCAAAACTCTGTTGTTTAGCTTCCAAAGCTGCAATCCGCTCAGCAGATTCTATTATTTTTGAAGAGAGCACAGCAACTTCAGTATCAATCTTCTTACTCAGCGCCCTATCAACCTCCGTTACCTTAAATGATATACTATCGAAGAGACTCTAGCTTGTCGGACTGCCGCTGTTTCTTCAAGCTCACGAATTGCTCTTAATATTGATGGAAGAGCAGCACTCTCGTCTAGTTTTACAGTTTTGGATGTCGGAGAACTTTTGCTTAAGCATCTTTTAGCGCCAGCAGATGGAGTGGATGGCATACCTTCAAGTTTAAGTTTACACCAACAATAGAGCAGAAAGAATAATTAATTAAGCGTAGGCACAAAATCTTAGTTCAGATGAGCTTTTGTTCAGCAACAGGTAATCCGTCAGCTTGCTAGCGACCGAAAAACACCCAACTATTTATTTAATCAGGGAAACTGGTGATTTAGTGCATTTTTGACGTGGTAATTGCTCATAGAAAACAACGAAATTTAACAAAAGTTTTTTGTTCATAACTTTTAAATGGTTAATAATATTATCTCGCCCCCTCCGGATTGTTATTAGGGGGGCCGAAACGCGTCGTTTGGTACCCATCCCGACTTTTCCGCACCTTTTTTAGGGGTTGTTACCCCACCCTAGAGAGTTACCAGAAATTCTTTTTGCGCAATACAAACCATCACATTTCAGCCTTTTTCTTTTCTGAAAGCATGTTATGTTATGTTAAGTATCTCCTGCAGCTCCACCTTCCTGCGCTTTATTTCAAGTTCTCCCTCTCGAATTTTCTTTATTTTGAGGTGGTGTCTTTTCTTCTCTTCGACACTACTAACTACATTCTCGTTAAATTTTTTAAATTTGCGATTCAACTCTTTGAGTTCATATTTTATATCTTTTATTGCGCGCACATTCCCTTTATCTTCTGAATTTTTTTTTAGGTCTTCCGCCATCGATGCCATCGCGTTGCTTTTTTCACCCATGTATTTTTTAATGCACTCATTGAAGCTAGGCTCCCGGCGACGTTTCGGTGTGCTGGCTACATTAGGAATAGGAGCAGGGGTAGTGAGAACGCTCGATCTCTCATTCTCGTCATTGCTTGATTCTTCATTTTCCTGTTGCGCAAACTCCCGCGTATTCTCTATACCTTCGACAACTTTAAAGATTCCGCAAATTTGGCCAATTTTCTCTTCAGTAGAGGTAAGCACATACTTATTGTAGGGTCCACCACCCGTAGCTCTGGCTTTAGAGTTGTTGTGTGCGATTTTTTTTGCGGACCGTAGTTTTCCAGTCTATCCAAACCTAGATACATGTTTTGTACAAATAAATAAACGGTCATAGCAATTTTTCTTTGGTTGCTTACCTTTTTCCAACCCATGACGTCTTTTGTAGGCGGTCCATTACTGTTCAGTTCATTTACTAGCTCTCTCCATTGCATGTCACTCTTCGCCTTATCGCCTTTTATGAAGCCTTTGGCCATATCGGGGTTGCTTTCCATAAAGCGGACCATAATGGAGTCCTGCAAGCTGCTTTTGTGCTTACCCCTAAAAATGTAGAATCTTTTGTTAGTTTTCCTTAAATATTTAAACAAAATAATTATACGACTTACATTTTTTGTCTCTTGAATTTAATTTCGCACAGCCAACTGAAAGTGTTTTAAAATACATGTTTTCATGTGCATTCGATTTATAGAGCAGGCAATATTGTTCGATATCATTTCGAAAACGATTACAATTGAAAAAGTAAACCGATAAATGTGGAGCACACAAATGTGAATTCAAATGGAATTCGATATTTTTTTACTCGAATTCAAGATCCAGAGCATGCCTGAATAATACGAAATTCCACGAATGTTTAAAGCGAAACTCGAGCTCAAACAAAACACGTCTCAGTATACACATTTTGAGTTCTCAAAAGGTATTTGATCTTATTTTATTTATTTTCATTACGAATATACTATGAAAAGCAAATTTTGTTTAGAAAAAAATATGAAATTTTATATTTTTCCCCCAAATGGGAATTAATTTCTTCCCGTTTTTCTTCTTATTCTACTGAGCTGAGGCAGTGTCAAATCGAGCTGTCATAACTGATACCACCTTGTATTATTGCATCACGGTGATTATAGTTGTGTTTAATGAAACCGAAAAAAGTGCAGAGCAGCTCAAGTTAGAGCAGAATAGAGCAGCTCTCAAAAAAACAATAGAGCAAGTTAGAGCAACTCAGATCATAAATCTCATGAAACACTTTTCAGGCAGAAATTCTCAAAACAGTTGATTGCTCGACAGTTCAATTCGTCAATTGTAAAGTGTTTGTGTGTGTTTGCTTGCTCTAAGTTACTCCATCAAAAAAGCTGGTGCAGAAAATCGTGATCTAAGTTGCTCTAGTTCCACTTAGCGCAGGCTCATGAAACGAAAAGTAGAGTAAGTTAGAGCAAGAAAAATTCTCATGAAACACAATTTTGTGAGATATCTTAACCTGGCATAACCTAGAGCAGCTCATTAAACACAACTTATAATTACTTAGGGTTAACACCGGACAATACTGTCATGACATTAGCAATACATGCGCACTTTTGACAACTAATACGTATTTCTTTGTTGTCTTAACAGCATTGTCCAAACTTTTTTTGGGTAAAAGATTGTCGTAAGCGCGATTTTGACGATTTTTAGTTAAAGATGCAGTTTTCGACTATGTTCAAACAGGCACCTTATTGGTAATTAGCCGCCATATTCCCACACCACTGACAAAACTCAGCGGCTGACTATTGCCTTTACTACTGCGCCTAATACTATGCCTCAAATTTATTTTAAGCTATCGTATGACAATTGTCAGTTTTATTGTTATGACCTACTGAGTAAGTGACAACGGCGAAACAATGTTTATATTGTGTTTTAGGCGCAGTAATTGTGACAATAGTCATATTATGAATTTTGTCAGTGTTGTGGGAATAGGGCGGTAAGAACCTTTTTAACAATTTAGGCCTTAATTGTTACGCAATTTATCATACGAAAATTCAAATTATTAATTGCCAATTAATAATTAATTGGCAATTAATTTGTGTCAGATTCTCTATGCAACCCTGCTAGGTATGTTTAATTTTGACTTGGAGATATGTTTATTGAACAAAGAGCAAACAGCTGTTTGTTTCTGGTCCTCTTTACAGCTGATATTCCATCAGGAATTGAAAATTGAATTATAAAATTGTACCTAATTTACGGAAACTTTACCTAAAAGTAGATAGATATACCTAAAAAGTAAATAATGTAGGCGTTTTATATGTACACGTCTTTCCGCTTTGATGCTCGGATGGATTATGATTTGATTGCATGGCCAGTGTTACCTGACCGTCATTCATTTTACAAATATTGTTGACTGACCAGGTTTGCCAGACTGTTATAAATAGTTATTCTAATACAATATGTGGATATAATCTACTACAGCTCGGCCAACCTGATCAAGGTGATCGGCCTCGATCACATTATCCGAGTGTTCATATCTAGTGTATGTACAGGCTAATATCAAAAGTAATTACTTATGGTCAAGTGTCGCTTTGTTTGGTTTTGCATTTTCTCATATTACAGGCTTCGATTACGCCGTCATACGGAATTTGTGTTATTTGCCCATTCTCTATATCTCTTACTACATAGCGATCGTTTGGAAGCTTTTTGTGAATCACGTAGGGACCTTTGAATTTTGGCAGAAGTTTTTTGTTGACCTCCACCGTTGTATCAACGTTCTTAATTACCACGAGGTCTCCTAACTCAAAATCATTTACCCTGCTTCTTTTCTGCTCGTTTCGCTCTAAGTTGTAGTTTTGAACTCTCAGAATGCATTCTTCTGCGTTGCTTCGTATAGTCTTCAAATCCCTCCCCCCGGGGCCAGAAATGTGCTCGTCCAGGTATTCTGAAAGCTTATCTACAGATTCACCTCTTTGATTTACACCGTAGAGGGCTTGACTGGGCGTTGTGCCTATCGATCTATTCATTGTATTATTAAGTGCAAATTTGATTTTCCCTAATGCTTTACCCAATCACTGTGAGCTACCGGTTCGCTTGATTTTGCTAACATACCCACTAAACTTCGGTTCACTCTTTCTGCCTGTCCATTTGCTTGTGGGGAGTGCACTGCCACCT